TTGATTAAAAAAGAAAATCAAATGTGTTTTAATGGTAGTATTATTTTATACATAAATCAATTATTTATAATTCAGATGAGAATAATGTTACATTGTTAATTAATAATGTTAATTAAAATTAAGGAAAACAAATATATTGATCTGAAATATAGCAAATTAATTTTAAATTAATTCAGGTACAATTACCAAACATATCGCAAGGTCTTTTTGTTTTTTTATTAATTTAATTAATAAACTAATTATATAAAACTATTGTCAGTGCACTACAAATAAACTGGTTCTATGCCTTTATTAATAAAACTTATTTAAAAAATACGATGCCTTCTGCATTTTTGTTTTGCTTTTTCCCTCCATTGTACCGAAATCATACCGAACCGTGATGTCTGAACCGAGGTATGAACCGAACCGTGACTTCTGTGTACCGTTCCATCCCTAATATATGTACATGTTTTAATATTTAGACTTTCTATTACTGATTGGTATCAGGATGTGAAGAGAGTTTCAACCAATATAACAAAAAGTGTTTATAAAATAAAATTGCCTACCCTGCCTTTAATTAGCGCTCCTTCAATGACACATTTTTGCAAAAGGTAAAACTCTAGTTGCCAAATAACATCACTACAAAATTGTCACTGCTACAATCATACACATTCAGATGGACATTTTTTGTACATAGGGGAACTACCACCTCTGTTAATAGGCCAAGAAGGCTGTTATCAGCCAATGACTTCAAAATGGCCAAATATCGGCCTTGTCGATTGTTACTTCTACTCAAGGTTTTCCCGCCATTTAAGACATTCTCAACAAACTGTTTAGCTGTATATTTCAATATTTATATCATACATGCTTTCAAATGATCTGAAAGGAAGCAATCAAGGGCACACAGACAAAAAAACAAGCACACAAACACGCCGATCAGACCTACCAGCATCAGCGTTCTCTGAGTCCATGTCTGTGTCTCTGTCTGCTCACTGGAACTGGGAGACAATCGCTCTCTTTCTGTCTTACTATCTTTCTCTCTCTAGGTGCTGTACAGTGCAGGAAGTCTAACCATCTTCTATAACACACACACACACACACACGCACACACACGAGCATCTGCATGAGGACAGAGGGGTAAGCTGTATTTAATTCTGATGATGCTGATGTTTTGGCACACTGAATATTTCACTGCGGTGTCGACACAAGCATCTGTCCGAATAATGCCACCATGCACGCGCACACTCTTGACCAACACAAAACACACACGCCGCCCCTTTCCCTTGATGTTTTCCCTCACACAGAATCTACACTAGCACGTCGTCCACCGCGCATATGAATGAGACACTGCTGAAAGGAGAGCGAGAAACACCAATACAAAACACATGACAGATCAAACACACACAAACACACACAGATCAAACTCTCTCACGCACTCAAAACGGCCAACGGAAGATCAAACTTTGCTTTGCGAATGGGCACATTATCATCTCAAAGCCATGAGAGAGGGAGAAAGATCCTTGAGAGAGAGAGAGAGAGAGAGAGAGAGACAGAGAGGGATCCTTCAGAGAGAGAGAGAGAGAGAGAGACCCTTGAGAAAGAGAGAGGCTGGTCATTGTCCCATGCACACAGACTTAAACTGTCAATCTAAATGGCAAAAACACCTGAGCAAGTCTGTACGATTTGATCAATATTACAAAAAAATTTGACATCACAATTTTAACTGCAATATGAGAAACATTTAACATCTCATATTGCTGCTTAGATATCTTATCTGAAAGAACAAAAAGGCATAAAATCACACTGAAACAGCAGTTCTCATGTTCAGCAGGGTGTGCAAACTGCAAACTAGCAAACAATGACTCCAAAGTCCGGTTTTGCCAACGCTTTGCTGCCAACAGAAACTGTTAAGGGTGTGCAAACTCAAGTTGAAATAATAATAATAATAATAATAATAATAATTCTCCTTTATTTTAGCGATGAACAGTGTGGTTGACAAAAGTTTGTAATTAATGCGCTCCAGATTCCAAAAACTGTTTCTAGTTTGTTGTCCTATTGCTTGTAATTCGTTTTTTTGTTCTTATTTTAACACTGACTGTTTACTTGTCTTCAGTAAGCTTGAGTTTTGTGTTGTGAGAAGTATTTGTTTTTTAAAATAAATATTAAAATTGGTCACAAGAATTATGAAATTTCAATGTTTGGTCATATCATCCACCCCTAGCCTGTGTGAATGCAGCCTTATAGAACATTTACAGAATCTCTTTTCTCTCCATTTTCCTCTCTCATCCCATGTCAAGGATAAAGGGCTCGTCTTACAGGGTCCTGACTGCCCAGAAATAGACTGTGTGTGTGTCAGAGAAGAGAGGTTATCATACTCCCTCTGAGGGGTGTGGGAGTTGTTTGTACTTCAGTGGAGAGGTCATCCTACTCTCAGACTGTGTGTGTGTGTGTGTGTGTGTGTGTGTTGTACTTCTCTGTGCAGAGCGTCAGCAGCAATAACCCTTAGGGGTGTCTGGTCTACTGCGTCAAACTACACATTACGCAATCTGATGAAACAATGCAACACTAAACTATATCACAAATGGCAAACTAAATGGTACGTAAAACTATATTTTACGCTAAATTAAATGTCGCAGACTACAATGTCATAAACACCAGGAAAAAATATGGCTAATTAGACAATGTCTAAAAACAGCCAAAATGAAGCAACAACACCATTTCCAAATAAACAATACCAAAGGAATCTTGCAAGCTATAACAACAAAACAAAATTACAAATGTTGGTAACACTGTACTAAGGCCTTATTTGTTAACATTAGTTAATGTATTAAATAACATGAACTAAAAAAGAACAAACTATTTTTGCATTAATTGTTAATGTTAATAAAAATGTTCATGTTAGTTCACAGTGTATTAACTAATTAACTAATAAACATTAACTAATTAACTAATAAACATTTTAAAAATGTATCATTAAAGACTTAAAATGTTGTAGAAATATTGTTCATTTCATAGTTAACTAATCTAGGTAACTAATGTTAACAAATAAAACCTTATCGTAACATGTTACCCAAATGTTAAAACCAACAACAGCAACCCCAATCAAACAACCCTCATGCAAATCGAAGCCAAAAATAGTCTTGCAAGCTAATAAACACCAAAACGTCCACCAATGGCAATCTAAATGGCACACAAAACTATACACTATGCTAAACTAAACATCACAGACACCAAACAAAAAAGCAGTCAATAAAGTAAACACCAAAACATTAAAACATGACAGTATGCCTGGCAACTTACTGTTGCAATGGCAGTATTGACTCAAATAAACATCCGTTCGATTTAGCTTATACTGGTTACAAAACGTCAGATATATTTACACAGCTAACAGTGGGAAGGACTACTTTATGTTATTTATTTACACATACGGAGTGGCTGTGACATTAAACATTGATACAGAAAGTAGCAACTTGCCAAATTATTATAGAATTTAACTTGCGTGGTCACATCACAATATTAGCTATTCAAACTGTACACATAACGTTATCATCATTTGTGCATTTGACACCGCAAAAACAAATATCGTAAACAACAAAAATCTCGTAAATGGCAACAACAACATTTGCCCAAACAAAACACAAAAACAGTTGGAAACGGCAAACTAAACAACATCAAAGTCTCACAAACACCAGGAAAAAAAAACATACAGTATGGCAAATTAAACAATGATAAAAAAAACATGCTAAACTAAACTACCCATAATATACAACCATAAACTAAACAATACCAAAGCAATCTTGCAAGCTAATTTACAACAACATCAGCAGCACAATGGGTTGCAAAGTTTACAGAAACTTTCCAGGATTTTTGAAATATTTTGGAAGGTTTCCGGAAATGTTAATTCCCTTTGCAGCCCTAGCCACAACACTGAAGTTAAGTCGGTTGCAACTTCCTGTTTCAAGGGGACTTGAACATTAAAAAAAAATTTTATGGAATATTGTAGTGTTTATGTTAAACACTGTTTCACTAGTGTTTAATATAAATTATTTATCCATGCACATTGCACATCATTAGGCTACTGTTTAAACACTGTTTCACTAGTGTTTATTATAAATTATTAATTCATGCACATCATTACTTTTTAAAAGCACGTGTCCTCTTTAATCATAACTTAACTAAAAATAACTTCCTGTCACTCTTATATCTCTTCTCTTTTCTGATGACATGTTTACTGGTGTGAGTGTGGGACGGCCTGTCACTCACATGACATCACAGCAATAGCAAACCATAACCATCCAACCAATTCCCAATGGACAAAATCAAGTCCCAGCCAACATTCTTTTCTCATTCGAGAAGCCGTTTCACTCAAAATATGTCACAATAGGGTAAGAAAGGAATATTACAACTTCTGTTTCCCGCCAACTTTTATAAAAACTATAATAGGGTCTCAATGATACAAAAAATAACACTGAAGAATGAAGCACAACAATGTCTCTTGGCTGCAGGAGACTCTCATTAGATTTTCAGAAACACTACAATCATAGACGTCCAAATATATTATGTAAGATGTCCGTCTTGGACTCTGCTGAGTAGGAATTTTGTGCTGACACTAAATCACATGCCAGTGCCACCTGCTGTCAAGGTATAAGGCATCAATGCCAACACCTCAACAGAGACTGATGTGAGTCACTGTCCTGCACGGGATCATGGGTAAAATAAACTGCAATGCCAATGACCGTGGGAAATGGGAACTCTGGGAAAACCATGGTAGTAAATGATTAACATATTCATGTACCTTGGTAAGAGAACCAAAACTATGGTTATACAATAGGATTTTTTTTTTTTTTGTGTGATTTTCTGTTAATACAGAAGTAGCAGGGATGAGCTGAGATCCGCAAAACCCCAGTAATGACACCGACTTATTCTCACATACACACTGCAGCAGAACATTTGCAGCATAAACCGTCTTAAGTGAATGACAGAGGGTCGAGGCTGTGACCGGCGAGGGTTCGGCTTCTTACCGGCAGGCATTCCTCCAGTCGGTTCCGTCCAACCCGCGTCCGAGGCACTGCGTCTGGTTCGGATCAGATCAGCTTGGAAGGGGGGTTGGCTTCGACATATGGATAGGAGCACGGCTGGATCACACACATACAAACACACACAAGCACAGATATACGGATTAAACGAATCCGATCAGAACCCCTCAACGATATCTACCTTAAACTGACGGCTACGAGCACACATTATCAAACATGGCGGAACTGTGTCAGTGTTGTTAAGAATTAAAGAAGTAAAGAAAGGGAGTTGTGTGTGAATACCTGTAGATGCAGATTAAGCGCAACACATCCGCGTTTCCTGCTTCACATTCCGCGTGACGTCGGGACACGCCAACACGGAAGTGACAGTCGAGAGCGGAGAGGAGAGGAGAGCGCGCGCAGCGCACGCGTCGAGGTTGAAAAAAAAGAAGGAAAAACCCACGCTGCAGGGATTCACAAAGTGGAACAGGTGGGTAAAATAGAAAACGTGTTCATTTTATTTAATTTCATTATAAAAAGTCTCTGGACAGTGAATTTTATCTGCTCCCTCATCCAGCTTCTAAAATTAATAAACAGGACAATCTCAGTTGCCTTTTATTTAGGTTAATGAACTGCCCAAATGTGTGTGTGTGTGTGTGTGTGTGTGTGCGTGTCATTAAAATATCTATTACATCTCAGAGTTTTGCATGGCATGTGAGCAGAATATCACTTTCAATTTCTTAAAGGAATCGCTCAACCAAAAATGAAATTGCTAATATCATTTACTCATTAATGAATAATGACTTTGTTTGTTGTTCTTTGGCACTTTACCAGAGAATTTTTGAAGGCTATTACTTGTTAGTTTTTTTTCTTCCCCCATGCAAATGGGACCTTTTAAACTGCAAAAAGGACACAAAAGCACCATAAGCATCATCAATGTGGTTTATACCGGGGGTATTCAATTTTTTTAGATGCCACTGAGCCCCAAATATGATCACACTTGTGCTTCCATCCTATGTAAAATGTATATATATATATATATATATATATATTATTCATGTAAAAAGATGGATTTATAATTAATATTATAAATATGTGTTAAATATTCTTTGGAAATGTTACATTAATTTTTATGTTACATTATTATGTTTTTTTCTTCTCGCTATAGTACTGTACTGTTGAATGTATTATATATTTCTTTATTTTAATCAAGTCATTTATTTATTCATTTAAATTATTTAAAAATTATCTATTTACTTAATTCTTAATTTTTAAATGTATTTTTTAGGGCTGTCAAACGATTAATCACGATTAATCGCATCCAAAATAAAAGTTTGTGGTTACATAATATATGTGTGTGTACTGTGTATAATTATTTTGTATATAAATGCACACATGTATATATTTAAGAAAAATATGTTATTTATATATAAAATGTTTATATTTATATAAAATATACATTATATAGGCTACATTCGGTCTATATACAGTATGCAAATATTTCTTAAATACACATGCATGTGTGGGTATTTATGTATTAAAAATAATTATACACAGTACACACACATATAGTATGTAAACACAAACTTTTATTTTGGATGCGATTAATCGTTTGACAGCCCTAGTATTTTTCATTTTTTTCTAAATTTTCCCCCTGTTCTGCTATACATTGTGACCTCGTTTTGCTAATATTCAAATTCCTCTGAAGATAAGAAACAGATCGAAATTGAAATCATTATTCACAAAAAATCTTTACTATACGTACTTGAGCTTCCTTGGTCTGTTTATGTGAGTTCATGACAGAAGATTCGTTAACCAATCATTCTTTTGAGTCAGATCTTTTCAATGCTTTTCAATCAGGTTCATAAAACTGACTGATCAGGTCCTCAAGTTCAACTTACTTAAAGGTGACCTATAATTCAAAATTGAATTTACCTTGGTATAGTCAAATAACAAGAGTTCAGTGCATGGACATGACATAGAGTGAATCTCAAACTGGACTGTTTTCGCGTTCTCATTTAATTCACGTTTATGAAAAACACCCCTGAAAAATGGTCGGTTCTCCACACAATACCGACTGTGACGCAATAGTCGGGATCATTGATATGTACGCCTCCAAATATTTGCATAATGCCAGCCCTCAATGCCAGGCGGAACTGCGCAGCCGAAGCATGGCAGTTGCTCAGTGTGGATGTACACATGAACACAAAAGTATTTTTTAGTTCCTTCATCTGAGCCTCTGAAGAAACAATGGGTTAATTTTATTTTCTCTGGAAATTTCCAAACATTTCACCGAGTGTTTCCTCAACTTGGGCCAATACAGAGCTGGCCTCGGATCGAGCTACCAAGCAACACTTTCTGATGTGTAATTGTTCAAGTTCAGACAGGTAATCTTTCTCTCAAAATCGTTCAATACTGTTTATGCATCAGTAAGTCAAGCCAGTGACTAAAATATCAGCTTCACATCGTTTCTTTTAGTAGGATGAAAATAATCGTATTTAAATTGTGAACAAATTATATACAGAAAGCGATCAAAGAACAATCTTTCCACACAGCGCGAGTTTATCTGGACACTTGCCAAACTCGTTATGAAATCAATGATGCACGTTACTGCACAACGAAGCTCTTACTGTATTTACATCATCGTGTTTGCATTGGTGAAAGCAGAGAGAGTGCAGAAACTGTTTTGCAATGATAAGATCTTCATTCTCGCGATCAACACACTGTCATCTGCTCAATGCTCATCACGGCAACATTTTATGTGATGGGAATAGATCTAAATACTTTAAAAACATCTCACGATTCGTTAATCTCGATAGCTGTTATAGTAAAAACGTATAATAGCAGTAGTAAAAGTATTTACGGGAGAGAGTTTCACATGTAATGCGTTGCTATTTCATATGCAAGCATGTCAGCCAATCACAGCAGTGGCCGCGGTTACACTGAATCCCACAGCAGACACGCCCCTTCAAACAGAGTGTTCAAATCAGAGGCTAAAAGCAGGCTAGGAAAAATGCCATTTATTTCTAAATTATGAATATTTTTTTATCTAAAAAACATACTAACATTATAAGGGTAACCCAGGAAACATTATAAAAAATAAAAATAAAAACATTCTAGGGCACCTTTAATGTTTCCGTTGCAGCCAGCAGTTAATGGTCCGCTATAGGGAAAGATTATCACTGAATAACTTTTAAATTTTGCTTGAAAGCTTTGGGTTGATCCATTGTTACTGAATTGAAAAGAGTACAACATGCCTACATAATTCAAGTCTTCATAATTTCTCCTTTTGTGTTCCACAGAAGAACAAATGCATTTGAAATAACATGAGATGTAAGTAAATAATGACAATTTTAATTATTGGGTGTATGATTTCTTTAATATAAAAACCTGTGGCCTGACCAGTTAAAACTTCAGAGCACATGTACCCAGTTACAAAAACAACAGCTTCAGATTGGAAAACCCTTTGTAATAATTTAAGAGTATTACTGATGGATTTAAGGGGTTTGTTGCAACTGGTTGTTGATATATTTGTTGTTACAAAAGCCTGCCGTTTCATTACGACAGAATCCAATCATTTACAGTGGTCATAATAAATAATAATACAAAGCTCAGTAATGTCTGCCTCTGTCAGACCTACCGTGTATAACTGGATTATTTTGGGATAAGCTGAAACCATCCAGTCAAACAGCCAAAGATGACGTGTGTGTGTGTTTGTGTGTGTTTGTGTGTGAGAGAGTGAGAGAGAGAGAGAAAAAAAATACACAGTATTAAGATAAAGACCTTTGCTTTACAGGAATTATGTGTGATTAAGCTCCATTTTATCTATCTGTTAAACACTGAAAAAACATATCAATCACTCACTCATGTGCACATGTCTCATAACTAAATGCTTTTACATTGTATTGGCTCAAAAGTTTAACACAATGTGTTTAAGTTGCACAAACTGGTTTGATGCATAGCTGAGATCCAGATGCAAACATTTGCATAACGATTACTGAAATGCTGGCCAAATAATCATATTTCACCAATAATCTCCATCAAATCTGTGTGGTTATTTCTCTCTGTGGTCACACACACACACGCACACATTTTCTGCCTCATTGATATTGGTGGTTTAATGAAGCTTGAAAGTTTGGGCAGTTTGATTGATTGAGTAATGGAGGAGCTGTGTGCAGCTGGTATTGCCAGTCATTCAGTAAAGTGCCGTAGTTATTTGAATATTGAATGCACACCCATGCATTGCAGTGATTGCTTCTTAAACACTTTCCTTTGCATATATGCATGGTAACCTAAAATATTGATGTTGAATAATTAAGTTAATGGATATATTATTTGTCAGCTACCCACATATATACAGACAAACCCACACATACTCATTATTCATACTCATTCATTATTCTCTTAATCAATCTGAAGATAGTAATTTAATACACTTCAATTTGTGTGAAGCTAAAACCTAATTATGTTCATTTCAAACTTTTATATGGGGACTTCCAATGTGGAAATATTTTTATGATTTGATAAAATTGCAAATTGTTTCTTTGATTGGAAAGCTTGTTTGTAGCAACTAAACATAAGTAAACTTGGACACTCTAAACTCACTTGTATGATTTTCTATCTTATCTGAAAACAAAAGTATGTTCAGGACTTTTAAGTGTATAACAAAAACATTGGTCTGTTTTATGGTATGCCTTCAGAAATGGTGAAAATGTTTTGCACGAGTAATACTTGCACAGACTACTTTTTGGGGTTTTGTTTCTTTGTATTTTCACTTTTATTGACAGTCTGTGGTGACCAGTCACGTTTATCGTATAGAGAGACGAAGCATCCTTTTGTTGTCTATGGAAGAAGTAAGGTTTGCAATGACTTGAGGATGTGTAAATGAAGACAGAATTTTCATTTTTGGACAATGTATATTTTATGTGACATGAAATAGCCTATATTAAATGCTGTTATTTCCCATCAACATTGATTATATATACACTCACCTAAAGGATTATTAGGAACACCTGTTAAATTTGTCATTAATGCAATTATCTAATCAACCAATCACATGGCAGTTGCTTCAATGCATTTAGGGGTGTGGTCCTGGTCAAGACAATCTCCTGAACTCCAAACTGAATGTCAGAATGGGAAAGAAAGGTGATTTAAGCAATTTAGAGCGTGGCATGGTTGTTGGCCAGTATTTCACAATCTGCTCAGTTACTGGGATTTTCATGCACAACCATTTCTAGGGTTTACAAAGAATGGTGTGAAAAGAGAAAAACATCCAGTATGCGGCAGTCCTGTGGGCGAAAATGCCTTGTTGATGCTAGAGGTCAGAGGAGAATGGTCCGACTGATTCAAGCTGATAGAAGAGCAACTTTGACTGAAATAACCACTCGTTACAACCGAGGTATGCAGCAAAGCATTTGTGAAGCCACAACACGCTCAACCTCGAG